ACTGGCACTTGTCTGTCACAGGGCGCTGCTCTGCGGTGGCAGTTCCAAGCAGTTTGGACAGGATTTGTAGGAATTCTTAATTTTAACCATAATATTGATTTACCTGGCAAACCAAGAAAGCACAACTAGCAAAATCTTAACTTTTTAGAGATGGCCCCTGTTCTGAATCATGCTGACTGTGTTTCACAAAAAGAGAAATAATTTCCAACATCTGCATGTATTTTCCCCTGCAGAGACAAATAACGAGGGCAGGAGAGTGAATAAGGCATATATGGAGGGCAATCATTTAAAGCTTTCATGTTTAGGGAGCAATTAATTATCCAAACCTCCAGTTTTGGAGAAGGAGATCTTTAATCTCTTTTAATCCCGCGTGACTCGGACCTCTGACCTGAAAACCGTGACCTGCGGCATCCCACGCTGCCTCCCGCGGGACGCAGCTGAACGAGGGACCGCTCTTTTGTAAACACTCCTTCCATAAATCCCGGGAAGCGTTGCCCAGGACAGCTCTGGGCAAGGTGGGCTCTTAAAAGCATAACACGGCAGCGAGCGACTGGCAGCGCCCCAGACCCCGCTGCGTCCTGGTGCCCCCGCGCTCGCGTAGGGCTGCCGCGTTGCTCTTCGGCCATGGGGCACAGGACCCTGACCGAGCAACGGCAGGATTGGGAAGCCGATCCTTTGGCGCTGCACACACTGGATGGTTGGGGTTGGGGCACGGAAGGGCTGCCAGAGGGGGGACGGGCAGGTACGGAGCCGCAGCCATCGCTCCCTCCCAAACAGAATAATTAGCAGTCACTGAAGATGGAATAAATAAGCTGTCCCTGATAGGTGGTTTGTGGTTCCAAGTTCACGAGTCCCATTTATGCTCCTTCCAAATACCCGATGTCATTTGTGAGACAGTGGGCCATTAGGGAGTTGATATTAGCCGTACCTGCGGGCTTATACGTGAAGATGAATTGCTCTACATAGTCAAAGTATCTCTTCTGCGTGAAAAACTACACTGGGATACAAGTGAGGAAAATGAGAACACCGAGTGATGCTTTCATTTAATTTATCCGCGGATGGTGCGGTGTGCTCCCATTAGCTGTGGAGCGGCGTACGTATGTTAACCACAGCGAGGGTCGTGCAGGCTTTGCTAATTAACGCTTGGCTCGTGGAAGGGAGGACTCTCCCTCCCGCAGCCAGAGCTCTGCAGCACTTCACGAGCAGGTGGATGTCTTCGGTGAACGGAAAGGTACAGAAAATTGACACTGAAACAAGTAATCACGGCGGCGTTGGCCGGTGCTCGCTCCGCTTCCCATTTCCCATGGCAAGCGTTCCCCCGGGAACGCGTGCGCCTGACCCTAAACTTTCCCCATTTTCCAAGCCAGTGCACTTGATGGGAACTCATCTTGCTGCTCTCCCCCTGATTACAGCCCCCGCGCCTCTCCGGGGCCGGGCCCACTGCCCATTTAGAGGTGGCTGAATCCATTTCACTGACGCAGCTTCCCAAAGATGGAGTTTGGGTTCGGGCTCTGGCTTTCATCCGCTTGTTTCCATTCCCGGCAGCTCAGCAGATGATCTCGCCTGTGAAATAAACGCCCTTCGGTGTTAAGCAGAAGACACGGATGCATATATTGTGTTTCCTTTAAAACAAACCCATGTTGGGGAACGGCCGCTCCAGAGCCGGTGCTTTAACGTCAGCTTTTGAAGGGTGTTTGCTCCCCCTTTTCAATTTTTAGCAAGCTAGTAAAAATCAATAGTCCCGTGTTCCCATCTGCACGCCACCTGACATCCCAGGAGTGATCGATGGGGCCGACGGAGGGTCTCGCAGGAACGCCGAGCGCGGCATTGGCCACAGCGGACCGAGACCCCGGCGCTGCGGCTTCCTCCTCTCCCTGCATCGCTCCTGGCCGCGGTGGGGCCGCGGTCCAGTGGGATGAGACCAGCCCCGGCCACACCAGAGCGGACAAGGGGAAGCAGAGGCTCTGGGACAGACCCCTCCGTCAGCTCCGCTGGAGGATTTCCCCAGGAGCAGCGCAGTTACACCGGGGCAGCAGCGCACCGGCAAGCCTGGCGTGCAAGGGATGGGAGCGAAGCCCGGCTGGGATATTGCACCGGTCCCCGACCCACACTCGCTGGGCTCGGCGGAGCCGGCGGCACTAAAACCCCGGGAGAGCCCGGTGAGCCGTGCAGTGCCGAGCGTCCGGCGGTGCCACGCAGCACCGGGGCCACCGAGGCTCAAGCGCTACCCGGGGAAAATCACTTCCCAAGCGGTTCGGCAGCAGTTCTGGGGGAGCCGGGGACTGCCCGGAGGAGGCAAACCACATGGAGAACCTGCTGAAAACAGGACCTCCATAGCCCGCAGCTGAGGCTGCTGCACCGGTGGGATGGCGGGAAGGGGCTCGGGGGGGCTGGCGGGGCCCGTGCCCAGCTAGGGCTGGTCCAGCAGGCACCAGTGGGAGGTGGGAGCCATCCCCGGCCACAGAGGCAGGGAAGGGGTGGGAAGGGCGGGAGCGGGGAGACACCTCCATCTCACCTCTCTCCCTGCCGAGACGAGTTTTATTTCTGGAAGCAATTTAATGGTTTGCTGATAACTTTGATTGGTTTCGTGTCAGGTTAGCTTTTAATCTCTGCTCTGGTCTGCTTCATTCTTTAAAATAACCGTGATTAAAGGATGCTGCTCCAGTATCGCACACGCTCACGGGCACGCGTGTGACCACGCACGGGCAGATGGCTCCTGCCTGCTGCCCTCCCTGCC